TTTCCCATCTTACTAAATAAAGAACTATTCCTATAATAATCACAAACACGAGAAAGCTTAATGAAGCAGACAAACCGATTACTAATTTATGATCAAAGCTGTCACCATTTGAAGATGTAGGTGCAGTTGGTGTATTCGATGTAGTTTGTGTTGAATCCGCAGATATAGGTGAAGGCACAAAGGAATTGATCCACATGTAACTCGTGGAATTAAGAAGATACAATGCATTATTTTAATTCGGATAAGATCCCTGTGCGTTAGGAACATAACCTAATTTATATTATAATAAGATAATATTTTAAAACCAAAAATATAAATTCGTTATGGAGTAACGCTTGTATCTAATATGGCAAGGTTAGGTGTGACCGGGTTATGATATATATCTACGCCTCCGTAGACAATGATTTGACCGTTTTTAGCTTTAAAGAAAAAAAGTGGAAATACTGTATCTCACAAACAAAATACTGTATTTGCAAATATAGATACATACCAAGTACAGCAGTATGGCACATACGCGCCTGCAAATTAACTCCGGTAGCTGTCTAAAATGCAAAGTAAAACTTAAAATTGAGTTTCTTTTATTTTAAGATATTACGTTCTTAAATATTCTTACCATTGACAACCAGTTTGAATTTTCAATGTCGAAAAGTTGAATCTATTTACGATTCAAAAGTTTTTAAATATCGCGCTATTTTAAAATAAGAGCAATACAATATGAATAAAGAATATTACTTGATATAAATCGACTAAAATTTGCGTTTGGTTAATATCACTGGCATATTCTCTTCCTCCTATTTAAATGCTAAATATTAAACTCCGAATTTCCTTTTATTTAAATGCTAAATATTAAACTCCGAATTTCCTTTTATTTAAATGCTAAATCGTAATTTTCGAACTTCGATTTCCGGTTTATGGTCTATATGCCGGAAATAATATCCGAAAAACTATTTAAACAATATAAATTATTATAGTACGAAAATTTCACTCGAAAATAGTGCTGTAGGGGTGACGCACAAGTGCTGTAGGGATGACGCATGAGTGACGCAAGGAGAACACCCCCATGTCATTTATTTTTGGTAAAAAATCATATACTGTATATTTTCTTTTTATTACTGAAAAAGATTTAACAATACTGTGATGACGTATAAAAATACTAACTTATTTTTAACACCTGTGAAACAAGCCATAGGAAATTTGCGGTTTTGTCTCTTCTACGAATCATGACACTCTGTATCATAATCATTCGTGGGTCAATGCGATTACCACCATGTTTTATCAGATTAACGCTCCTTTGCATAATTAATTATCTTCGATTACGCAAGAAAACATGCTATTACCCAGTTACGTTTACTGTCAAGTTTTCTACTTTACGTGAAATAAATGATTAAGTTTACTGTCATGTTAAAAAATCATTCTCGCATCTTCTCTACTTTACGTGAAAAAGAAAATGATGATCGAAACATAACTCTATAGAAATTAATAAGGATTCAATTAAAAAATATTATTATAGAATCAACGGTTTAAAAGGTAGTGATTTGAATAAAATCGGTTTTTGGATCGATAGAAATAGAGCTAATAAAGTTAATAGTGAGTAGTGGGAAAGGAACGCCATTCTTGTTTTGTGAGGGGACCCGGGGAACAGCTAATTCCTCCCTTGAAACATCCCGCTGCTCTATTATTTTTACTTTCATTTTACTTAGCCGGCCGACCTTTTTCATATTATTATTTTACGAAAAAATTAACTATTAATAGAATTAACGTATGATTGTTGGTAAATTTCGTAGATAATTCTCTCTTTATCCAAATATTATTCTTGTTTTAAAATACTCTGATGGTGCTGTAATTTTTCGGTTCCGACAATGTGATTATATCGAAGGCGGTTTTGGTCACTGAAAATATGTGATTATATCGAGTGTCGATACTCTAATTTCGCTAGTCACCTGACAATAATATCGGAGGCGGAGTCCAATCAGAAATGGTGGTCGCGTTGTTTATAAAAAATCCGCTTTTCGCTATCGCTATCCTAAATTTCTTCTAACTGAAAATTCCGAATGTCTCTGTTATCCTGGTAACTACTTTATTTACGTTTTGTTACTACTTTGTATCAATGGTACGCTTAAAGCAATAGCTGATAAAATTCTCAATAGATTACTGGGATAGAGACTGGGATATCTACTTTTCTAAAAAAATGCCTTCTGCATGTCTCAAGATTTACGTATGGCTCTGTCTGCCGGGTTACAAGAAGGCTTTGGTTCTTCGCGCCGCCCTAAAGGTCAAGTATTTTTCTGTGATAAACTCCTGGCAAAAGGATATGTGCTACGCCCCGCGACTGCGGTCGACTGCTCAGTAGCCTGCGGTCTACTTGGGGGGGGGGGGGAAGAAGAGTGCTATGGTTTGGGCTCCTTAGACTCTAAAGAAGCCAACCTGGCATGCACGTATCACTATGTTGGGAGTACCTAACCACACCCTGCGACTGCGGTCGAGCGACTTTGTCGCGGAAGGCAACCTGCGGTTTGCTTGAAGTGGGGAGTGTGATATGATTAGGATCATTATAGATTTAGATCATTATGATCAATTATATCATGCGCGGTTAGACATAACAGGACAACTGTCATAGCCCTAAACACTTTACAATTCTATAGACGCTTATCAATGTTTGCTTCTCTTATTTTTTGTCCTATCCAGAAAGGCTGTGGTAAAATCGACGAATTTTGGAAGAAGCATGTGAATAACATAAAGAAGATTGGTGTCGATAAGCGGATCATCAAGGTGTTATCTTCCATTTGGATCTTATGTGAATATTAATATTTATGCCTTTCTTTTTTTTATCATTGACATCTAGGAAAGGATTAATGACAGGATTAGTAACGTTGCAATGCATGCCACCGCAAATACGGCAGAAGAAGAATTTACGCGTAATTCAAAACGTGAATCGAGCGCTCTCGCACAGGTTGAACACGGTTTTGAAAATATTTGCTCTGATGCCTCGATTTCTTGATTCGGTTAATTCTTCACTGCTGACGTTTCTTTTGCTTTTTTATCTAGGATGTACTTGGGATTCGCAAGGAAGTCATGAACAATAAAATGAAGGTGAGCGACGTTATGCTGAGACTTTTTAAAAATTGACCTGTCATTTAACTTTCTATTCATACACTCTAGGAAGCACAAAAGTCTGGATCGTCCAACACTAGAGCAAAACGTAAAGATCAGTATGGAAAGCCTGGAACACAAGCGGTTTCTGCTAGCAAAAAGGCTCGGCGAGAACAGGTATATGAACAAATACATATCTAACACGACACGATGCATTATATCGTAGAGTACCAATACCTATCTGCATCCGCCTTGATAGCGTTATGCAGGAATGGATCAGAGTCGGTTCTGGGTTCTACGCTCTGGGCGTTCGGTGGAAGAGATCCTCCAAAGAGCTAGCCTCCAGGAAGGCTCGACGATCATGATACGGTCATTTACTATCGATTTCTCCTGCGCAGTAACAAAGAATTTGTTCAGTGAGGATGAATGGGAGGAGATGATGGAAAAGAATGTCTTTGAGTTACCGGAGTTGCCGCCCTCAACCATCAGTTTTCTGTTGAGGATGAAGAAGGCGTTAGTTAAAAGGGACCCTGCATGTCAAGTACCACTGCCGGACATTGATAAGTTTGCCTGCACTTTAGTCCAGGATTCCTGCAAGATTTGGTACAATGATCATAACATGTTTGCAGCGCACGTGGTATGGCAACAGGGTACAACTCTCCTGGCCTATCCGTTATAGGCAGAGGCTCTACAGCAAGACTCCGTCACCGTTAGTGTGAATGATCTGTCGGAGGCTTTTTGGGCTCGCAAATCTTGATTATTGATGACCGAGCCCTTGATGACATGGACAATCTGTATATGATTGATAGGAAAAGTAGGCATTGAGAGTGGAAAGCGGCGTAACTCTGATAGGCAATATCACTCCGATACTAAACATCAAGAAAGCGAGTTGGGCGGAAGGTTGATTTAGTCGTCCGTGATGTTGTCCAAAATAAGATTACATGATTGTGGAGCGCATGAAGGACTGGGACAACTATTTCACTAAGTTCCTTAAGGAAACAAGCGTTGATTTTTTTCATGAGACACACACTATTACGATGCACTGACTACAAAATACCGAAAATGAATGGCTTTGGGACAAAGGTCGATTTTTTGGCATCTATACGGGCAGTAAGTACAATTACAAAAAAAATTTTTTTTCCTGCGACTAAACATTATAATTTACTCCCTATGGATTTCTTAGCCAGCGATCTTAAATCGGTTAATAACTCCGAACCTACCAATATTATATCCTCTCAATTTATATTTCTCAAAAAGTTTCTTGGGAAGAGATTACAAAGACAAATCATTAAAAAGTTAATCAATAAAGGATTGATCCCCTCAAATGCTTTAAAGCATAACATTTACGTATTCACTAAAACTCGATATACTTTCCATTTCTCAATTGGATATATTTTCAGTTGCTATCTACAGTGGCGGTCGAAAGTACTACATCACCTGAATACAAAACTTGAAATGTCAATATCTCGTGACTCTGAAGTCACTATATCGTAAAATTCATAAATTAAGATCGTCATACCTTAATTTATTTATATATATAAATGTTTTCTTTGTGCTTTGAAAAATTCGCACGTTTAACAAAAAACACTTAAAAAATAGTGATGCATTTTTATTGGCCGTTTTAGAAAATAAACATTGAGATACACACCCCTCCCCTATATTACCGGAAATCAACAATCATCAATCAATAAAGAAAAAATTTATTTCATTCATTTCCATTTTTTTACATAAGAACAAATGATGACTATACTCATAAAAACTGATTTTTTTTGAGATTTTTTTTTTTAAAAAATACATGGAAATGAACTGACTACTGAAAAAAGAGATCAAATAATTGATGCTTATCTCACAGGTTTGAATGGACTAAAGATAGCAACTGCATTAAAAATTTCTTACACAATGGTATATGATACTATAAACCATTATAAAAAACTGGTACTTCTTATTCAAATAAATAATCTGGTTGGCCAATAACCCTTTCAAATCATGGTCAACATTACTTGAAATATATTGTATTGAAAAATTGATTTTTACCCTTAAAAAAAATCACTGACAAACTAAATAAAAGTTTTAACACAACCTATAATCCTAAAATTATTTGAAAATATCTTCATAATTTTGGTTCAAGAAGTTATGCTACACAAAAAACCTCTTTTAACCAAATGCCAACAAATTTGTCAATTAAAGTGGTATCAAACTAAATGTAATTGAAAAGAAGAATAGAAGCAAATTGTATGGTCAGATGAATCTAATTTTACTTTATTTAAATCAGACAAATAGATAAAAGTATGAAAAGAAATAGATGAAACTTATAATAAAAATTGTATTCAGTTCACAGTTAAATTTGATAGATAATCTATTATGTTTTGGAGTTGTTTTAGCTGATATGGAGTTGAACCATTAATAGTAATTGAAGAAAATATAAATTCTGACATATACATTAATACTTTAGCAAATTATTTGATACCATATCTTTATAATAATTTAAATACAATGTTTCAACAAGATCTTGCTCCATGTCACACATCATCTTATACAGCTTGGTGGATAGCGACATATAATATTTTGATTTTAAACTGGATTTCAAAAAGTCTAGATTTAAATTCAATTGAATACTTGTGAGACTATCTTAATCATTAAATTTAGAAAAAAAACCTTTATTCCAATCAAAAAAGGATTTAATTCAGGCTACACAGGAAGAATGGGCAAATATTACTATAGATACTTTATATAATCTAATTTTAAGTATACTGAAACATACTAAAAATATTATTAGAGTTAAAGGTGAACATATTAAATATTAAAAAATTTTTTTTTTCATTTTTTAACCTATAAAATAGAAATTTTTTTTATAAATAAAAAAAATCAGATTTAAAAATTGTCACTTTATTTTATTGAACATTAATTTCTGAAAATATAGAAGAGGATATATATAGTATGTGACTTTGTCGTGTTTTAAAATAATATCTCATAATCTATAAAAATGATGTCTTGTGACATATCTTTTTTATAACAAAAATCAGATCCATTATAATTTATTTGTCAACAGAAAAAGAACACAAATTTGTATCCTTTTTAATAAAGAATATCTATCCCAATATATTGCTAATTATAAAAATGTCAGTCAATCTATGGTTATTAGAATCAAGCAACATAATGAGAAAACAGATACCTTTAAGGACAAACTGAAATGTGAATGCCCTAGACTTTTAACTGATTATCACAAATAAAAAATATTAAAATTCATTATAATAAGTAAATATACTAATACAGTTGCCATTCAAAAAAAGTTAAGATCTGAGAAAGAAATGGATATCAGCAAAAGTACAATCAAATGAATCTTACGACAGAATGAATTATGCTCTCAAATTAAGTATAAAAAGCCATATTCTAAAAAAAACATATTGATATACATAATTAAAATTCATAAAGAAATATCAATTTTGGATAATTGTGGATTGAAGCAAAATAATGTGGTTTGATAAATCAAAATTCCAAATTTTTATTCAGATAGCCATAAATACTATTGAAAATGAGATAAAAAGCTATTATGAGACCATTATATTCAACCTATAGTCAAGTTTGAAGATGATAATATTAAAGTATGAGGATGTTTCTCATTTAATGGCATTGATAACATCTGTCACATTTATGGAAACAAGAATATTGATCCATACTGTCATATTTTAGAAAATGATCTTCTAGAAACCATTAAGTGACATAATATGTACAAGAATATATATTTTTTTTATATAGGATAATAATTCTAAATACATTATATACCTTATGAAACAGTGATTTGAGGATAATGAAGTGAAGTTACTTGATTGGCCTGCATAGTCTCTAAACTTAAATTCAATTGAGCACTTGTGAAATAAAATAGACTATCACTTGAGAAAATTTGAACCTATTAGAACACAAAACCAATTGTAGAATGCAATTCAAAAGATCTGGGTTGAGATGGAACCTAATGTATTATATATAAAAATCTGATTGATCCTATGTCAACCTATATTAATAATATGATTAAAGTAAAGGGGATATATGAGATAG